AATATAATAGAACGGCTGGCCTTGAGCGATTATTGGTTTTCTGCAAGTCAGTACTTTGTTTATTTGCTACTTATTTATTTATTTTATGTCCTATGCAGACTAGTTCAGTTGAGATTGAGCGTGTATGTAACCAGGCTCATGATGGTATCTTGGAAACTGCTGCAGTCAGCACTCCACCACCAAATGGTGGCCCAGAGCTGTTAGCTGTATTTGTTGTGCTAAAGGAAGGAATCAGTGCTGACCCTGATTTGCTGAAGATGAAATTCTCAAGAACCATACAGAGCAACCTCAACCCTTTATTTAAGGTTTGCCAATGCCCCTGAAAATGCAGTGATTGTCTTGTTTTCATTTTCGATTACTTTAATTCTTGGGGTGCTAATCCTGCAGCCCCTAACCATTGGAGTACACATGCTAGATAAAGGACTAATGTAGGGTTTACAAAGAAAATCACAAAGAACCTTAGCCACAGCAATGACTTTTCTTTTTTTTCCCCCCTTTCTACAAACAAAGAATCTGAATCCATCCCATGTCAGCGATGGGGTTAGTTCGATGTTCTGACTTCTCCAAACCCATGAAGTTGAAATGAATGACAACCTTGGGATAGAGTGCATAAGCTTTACCATGACACTAGGAAAACATATTCACAGGATATAGAGTCAAGTGCAGTTTGAAGTGGATGCCATGTAAATAACATATTGCATGCTTGCCTGTCCCAAAGTAGTTTGTTCAAGATCCGGTGTAGATAGAGGGTGTCTTTTTTTTTTGCCGGAAACAATAGACCCTACATTTTGTTCTATACTATGGGGGAGGGGAGAGGGGGGGGACCTAAAGAGGCCTAGAGAGAAACCGGAGGGGACTAAACCACCTACTGGCCCAAATAAGTGCACTATGCACTCGTCCGGTAGCCACTTGAAGTGGCCTGCCACATTTAGTGGCAAATGGTGGGAGGCAGGGTTTGAAACCCTGACCTCCCACCCCACAGAGGATAGGTAGTATTATTCTGGCCCACTTTACTGCTGAACTTATAACTTAATTGCTATAGATAATTTTCCATACCAAGTGCCAGTAATACTCAGTACTTGGTGATCATGAATCTTGTTGAACAACACACTATATGGAAGTTTTACAAGTCAAGTTATACTTTAGCATCATCTCCCTTGGCCAGTCAAACTTATATCGGACAAAGGATTTTAATGTTTCTGTGCAAGAGCAGATGTGCTACTGTGAAGTGCATTAAATTTGTGCGCCGCAAGAAAACATTCGGTAGCAGTTGGATGAGATGGGATACTCAATCTATTCTCTAATCTTCTCTTTTTCTTCCCTGTTGAAAGTGAACCAGAGTCACTGATAAAGTCACATTGCACTAAGTTTGGTTTGATTGGTATAGGTGTCTGATTTCTGTTCTAACTTAATGTAGGTAAGTTTTGTGAAGATTGTCCCTGAGTTTCCTCGAACGGCATCAAATAAGCTTTTAAGAAGAGTTTTAAGAGATCAGTTGAAGCAGGAGCTTAACATACGGAGCAAGATCTGAACATGGGATTGATGTTTCCAAAACTTTGTGCAATAATTACTTTATTTCCTATTCCTGACAGGACTACGTGCAATAAGATCATTGAGTGGTTAGTTTCTATGTTTTCCATCATAGCAAAGAACTGTTGATATTGTGATCATGGGGTCATATAAAGAAATTGGTTTTGTTATAAAGAAGTTAAATTTACTCGAACTATTAGTACAACCTAGTTCTGCATCTATAGTGATAATATACTGTGTTGCAGAATTTGTACACTTTTTTTTTTTTTTAATCCCCTCTGCTTTTCAGCTTGGTTAAAGCAAGTGTAAAACCAAAACGCATCAGAAAAAGAAAGTAAACTGGTCCTTCGTTGCTGGTAAAAGTCCCTGCGGGCTATCATTTTGTTAAGCAGGTTTAGTAGGCCAATTGGGAGTTTAGTTGGAGATGGAGCTTCTATTAGAGGGACAGAAGTCTACCACAAAGAAGCTTTGCAAACTTTCAAGGAATTCGCGTCTACCTATATGCATTACATGCATACTGGACAGAAGTCTGATCTGAAATTCATCTGATCAACCAAGATATATAACCAAATGTAGTCATGTATAAAACTGGACTGACTTCATTGACAATACAAAACAATCATTTATAGCCGTCAAAAAAAATATTTACGGCTGTTGAAAAAAAATTATTTACAACCGTCTCATGTCTCAATGTCAATACATCAAGTTATGAACAAATTACTATATCAACAATCCGAACTTCCTACCTACTTGGGACTGTACAATTCAGAGGAAAATACTACTCTACATTAGTCCAAGAATTCAGAGAGGAAAATGCTACCCTACATTAATTGACAATCACCCTTTCTTCTGCTTTTCCAAATCAAAAATATGCTTCCTCCAAGAATTCCTCCCTCATGCGCAACCTGAGCTGTTCTAAAGGGTTCACAATGTTGCCATTCTTCAGGACTCTCAGCACCATGACAGGTTGATACCCGCAGCGGTCGTAGACAGGAGAACATTCGCTTAACATCTCGAGTTCCTTGAGAATCATCAGATTTTCCTCGAGTTCAAGCTCTGCTTTCCTTTTCATTGTCTCCAAAGTAACCCTGGCAGCTTCCCTTTGTTGACCATGGAATTGAAGTCCATCTTTTGGTTTTAGCATATGTTAGGTATATGGCAGTTATCTAGGGAGAATAGTATGTTTGATATTGGTTTCAAATCGTGGAATGCTATGATATGTAAATGTTTGACATGGTTAACTTTTGTGGTTTGACATATTATGGTTGCCTACTAATGATAATTTGTAAAATTTTGGTTGATATTTTCCTTGCATACTTTTATATTTTGATTGGGTGGAGTGTCTATACAGATGATATGGTCACTTTCTTATCACTAAAATTGCTGGGCTTAAAAAAGCTAAATGGTGAAATTAGAAATTAATATGTTATAGTGATACGGCTGTTGTCAGGAAAAATGACCTTGTATTGTCATTAAAATTTTAAGCAAGTTTCAATGCATGACTTTTCTTGACAATTGAAACTTTAGTCACAAAGTTCAGGGTCTTTCCCGACAAAGGCTCATCAAGACTATGAGGTCTTTCCCTAACGACCAAATCATCACGATTACCTTTCCTGATGATGCATCACAGAAAATGACACTTTTCTTGATGAGAATTTCACTAGTTGTCGGGAAAACCTTTTGCTGACGGCGTATGAGTGACCAATATTCCCTGACAATATTGACGTCACGAAAACCTTTCCTGACAAAATATGTAACTTTTCTTGACAAAAATTGTTGTCACTAGAAATTTTTTTTTTTGGTTGTAGTGTAACTTCTTTCCATCAAACCTTCTCACCTCTGGAACTAAAGTATCACCACATCCAGTTTTCTTCAAGCAAGTCTTGTACCTTGATAGCTCTCCATTACCAGCTACCATGCTCCCCTCCAATTCTTCCCCATCCATGCTACTTTCTACAAGCTTGGCACAAGCCACTCTATTTTCAGCATGCTACAAGAAGAAAAGGCTCAATATTTGATTTATTTTGTTAAACACTTCCAAAAAACAGATAAAAAAAGAAAAGCCATTGAAACAGGCAAATAGACTTGCAGTCAACATTTTTTACCTTCATTTCCACATTCCGAGAATTGTATAGCACTCTGGTGGGCAAAATCACAGATAACTACCTTCCATCTTCAAAACTTGATTGATAAGTGAAAACAACTTCTCCCTCTTGACATTCTCATAAGAACAACACGAGAACCTTGGTGTTCTTTGTCCAAAAAGCATGATCTCTACTTCCTAAACAAATTCTGGAAAAAAAAAAATCATAATATTACGTCACAATGCTACTTCAGTTATGACATTAAGTAGAAGCATGAGCCACGGAAAGGTTTGGTCTGGTAACTAGTGCAACAATTTATCACTCAAAATCCTAAAGAGTCAACAAATTAAGCCAAATTCCATTGATTAAGCCATAAAGAAAATACACTAGTGTAGATACCACCCTGCATTTGGCACAATTACATGACTCAAACATACTTGCAAACTTGGACCAATTCCCTTGTACTTCTAGTAAGTTGGGTGGAGACACTTCCAAACCACTTACCTCCTCATCTTTCTTCAAAAACGATTGGAAACCATTGCTTGATGCTGCAGTTGGAGAATGTGAAAAGTGCAATAAGATGCTTTAGAGGTTCCAGGCTGACTGTGCCTTGAGCACGCTTTTGAGCCTTCCATTGCTTGCAGGCAAATGTTTCAGCACTGTCATTGCTTGCTGCTTCACCGACACTTGTTGCCTGCAAGGCCATAATATTATCAATCCAATTCACAAAATAGAAAAAGAGCACCCTAGTTATAGTGTCTGAACTTTAAAAATTTCCAAAGATGATAAAAATTTATAGTTTTAACGGCACCCTAGTTCCTCTGCAAACAATTTCAACTCGATCGACATTGAGCTAATTTTATGGCAATCATAACGCAGAGCCCTACGGAAGAGATAATAGTGAAGATTAAGAACATATCCATCCATTAAATGCTAGCGGTAACAAAAAAAAATTGTAATGTTCTCCCAAATTGCTATTTCATTGGTTTTAAGGTTGTTTGGAAATATCAGTGACAGGAAAAAATAAGAACATACCCCATTGAAGCTGAATGGTTACGCTTGCAATGTTAGTGAATTTCATGGACAAATAGTCAGTACCAAGTTCACATGTAGTAGTGAATTTTACCATGCTCATTAATCCTTTGGATGGTTTAGAAAAGCAGATGAAATCCACAATTTTATTGTCTTTCAATTTGCTCGTAACTCTAATTTGTTAATGGCAAGAATTAGCTTAAAAATTGAATGAGAAAGTAATCTTCGCCAGAAGAAGTAGAGGAATAGATATTTATGGAGAGAAAGAGTGAGGGACAAATACGGGTAGAATAAGATGATCCAATAATGAGAAGCAGTTAATTAAAATTTTGAGATGAAATCTTACCGGATGGCTCAGAAATACCGAAAATCAATTTTACGCTCCGGAATATCAGAGATCTTGGGCCACTCGGAGCCGCTTTGAGGAGTGCATCTTCGATTTAATAGAGGACAAAACCAAATTTCCAGACGTCTTAATTTGAGGCGTTCCATGGCGGCCATGGAGGGTAAGTATTCAAGCTTTGGGCAACCCGATAGGATTAGGTCTTCAAGAGATGCAAAATTCCCAAGCCATTCTGGTAAGGCTTCGATTGCTCCGAAGTCACCTAGAGACAGTGATGTGATGGTAGTCAAGCATTGAAGCTGATGTGGCAGAGACTTCATGTCGGGCATTCCACATAAAGACACGCACCGGAGTGTTGATGAAGATGCTAACCCAGCCCAATCAAATTTGATTACAGAGTCATCTGTAAAGGGACCAATCTGCACTTCCCTTAAGCTGGTAAGATAGCCAAATCCACTAGGCATCTCAGCAATCAAGTTGGGACAGTCGAATAATTTGAAGCTCGCGAGAGAAGGGGTTCGTCGCAAATCAAGGGGAAAGGAGACCAGACTGTGCCAATTGTACAAATTCAGCTCTCGGAGAGACGTACATGACTCGAACATCTCCACTGGCAATGTTGTTAATTCATGGCACCCATAGGTAAGAAGCATCTCGAGAGACTTAAGGAGGCTTTTCTGTCCTGTATTATGATTTGGATATCCAAATGAATTGATTCTCGGGCAGTCACCTACAGTCAAGCACCGTAAAGCTTGAAATTGATAGAGATCATCTGGCAACTCCCGTAAATTCTCACAATAATGGACTGCCAAACTCTCAAGACAAGCGGCGCAACTCATTCCTCTTAATGTTATTATATTAGGGCAACGAAACAATCTTACATCCTGAAGAATTGGAAAGAGGCAGAGTCGCTCAAGCATGTCAGTGGGTAGACTGTCACAGCCCTCAATCCTCAAGCTGCTCTCTGGTCGTTTCACTAATTCTAGAGACTCGATGCTTTGTAGACCACCCCTTAAATAAAGGGAAGAAAGTGTGGTTATATTGCTCAAAACCTTTTCCGCCACCAAAACGTGGCAATTCCATTTGATTTCCAATACATCAAGACTTGGGAAACGACTTGGAGTTGGAATGGTGGTCAGCTTGGGGCAATCGCTAATATACAACTTTTCCAGCACAGGAAACACATCCATCACACGTACTTCACCTGCGTTTGACATCATTTCGGGTGCGTCCTTCCACTCTTCCAAAATTTTCATGCTTTCAAGAGAGAGAATTTTGAGGGATGGAAAGAATGTTTGTCTGCTAATAGTGTCTGAACCTCCTGATCCGCCATCCTCCTCAGCACTTGCACTGTAGAATGAAAGCCCAATGCTTGTTGTGTTGTCCAATCTAGTCAGATAGAGGCACTTGAGGAACGGCAGCTGTCCAAGTGCAGGGAGTTTTCTGCATCTTGTGCAATCCTCCACCCGCAACTCCACCAGTGATGTCAATGTCAAATTCATGAACCATTGTGGGAACTGATCACCCATGAACTTCAAAATTTGTAACTCTTTTAAATTTGGGTGAGGCTGGAGACCTTCCAACACATCTTCATCACATTTATCACTTTTCCGATCCCTATTGCCCCACTCAAACACCAACCGATACATATTTGGCTTTTTAGATAGGTTCGCTAGTTCAGCATCATCTTTGCCATTTACTAATTCAAGATTTCTGATCTCCAAGGTGCCTTTAAGATCTTGCAAGGTTCCAAGTTCTTGGATACCACGACCTTCCTCTTGATGACCTATGTTAAAGAACTCTAATGTTTGAAGACAAGTCAATCGTCCAATCCTGGATGGCATTTGGATTTTGCGCCCTGCATGATCATAATAGTGAAGATGTCTCAAGCTAATCAAATTGCTCATCTTCTTTGGCAAACCTTCTTCAAGCATGTTAATTCTCAGTGTTTGCAAACTATAAAGTTTGCAAAGAGATTTTGGCACAGTTGTAATCCTAGAACCTGAAATGTCAAGTAAGTGTAAATGTATTAGTTTGCCAATGGAGTTCGGCAACTTTTTGGCATCTGCTCCAAACAATTTTAGGACATGCAAGTATTTGAACTTTGATAACATATCATCAGCTATGCCACCCTCCAGAAATAATGTGCGAAGTGATTCTGATTTTTTTTCATTGATGGTTTCTACCGCCAGGTAACGGTCCCCATTGCTGCTGTTACGATTCAAAATTGATTTTGCAAAATCATGCACAAGATCATGCATTTTATATGATGTTTTCCACTCCTTTTTTACTTCTTCCAATAAGGAAGTTTGCAGCAAAGTTTTCAGATACTTATATCCTCTTTTCTCCATTCTTTCATTTTGGGAATCCGGTTGAAGAAAGCCTTCAGCCATCCAAAGCTCAACTAGTGGATCTTGTTCCAATTCAGTATCTTGATCAAAAATTGAGCAATATGCAAAACATTTCTTAACCGGTGCAGGTGAGAGATGATCAAAACTCACCTTAATTATTTGCTCGATCCCACCCTGATCTCCATTCAAGAGACTCTCCTCCAAAATAGATAGCCACTCCTCTTTTCTCTTTTAGATAACAATCCTCCAATTAGCTTTGCTGAGAGAGGTAGACCGTCACATCTTCTTAAAACTTGCTCCCTTATGTCTTCCAATTCTTTTGGTACTTCTTCCCCTACAGTTGCCCATTTTTTCATGATAGACCAGCAATCATTATTGCATAGCTTTCTCAGCTCATGGCGAGTAAAATTGATCTGCGGATGTCTAGACAGAATAATTGCCACTTCTTGCAGACGAGTGGTAACAAGACACCAGCTCCCTTTCTTGGTATTGAGTCCCGCCAAAGTGCTGAAAAAGTCATTCAACAATACTTCTTGATCATTCCACAAATCATCAAGAACAAGGAAATATCTTTTTTCCTTGAGTTCATGCTGAATTTTTTTAACTATTTCCTCCCTAGGATCCCCTTCGGTCTCTCTATCTGTTAACGATTTTAGAATCATTTTGAAGACCACCTCGATTTCATCTACTTTTTTAGCCACAGAAACCCACATTGTTTGGTCAAAATGTCCAGCAATTTGTTCATTTTTGTAAACGGCTTTAGCCAGAGTTGTTTTTCCTAAACCACCCATGCCAGTTATGGGAATAACTGAAATAACACTTTCAGATTCGGTCAACAACTTCTTAACTATTTCTGATTCATCCTCGTCTCTTCCTAGGACATCTCTTCGCACAATAGTAGAGTCAGTCTGTCGGCTTGTTGGGGCTCCAGCAGCAATAGTAGGGAATGCTTCTTCAACTCGGCGCTTGTAGGCCAGTCCCAAACCTTCGGCATCCCGATGGATCCTCTCAAGGTTCGTGTTGATCTCCCTGATCGTTGAAGCCAACCTCGAACGAAAACGGACTGTATTAAAGAATGAAAAGCAGAGGAATACCTTCTTTTTCATGAGTTGATTTTGATACTTCACCTTCTGACGAAGATTTTCATAGTTGAGCTCGTCCAGCACATTGTCAGCTTTGAAAACCTCTTCTTCCAGTTGCTTGAGCCAATTTTGCACCCCAACAAGCTTCGGATCGTGGCTATGCATTTCCTCATCAGCACCGGCCAAGAAGCCTCGGATCATTTCAGCAGATCTGTTGAGTCTCTCCAGCTCCTGTGGAAATTCACGAACCAGACTAACCTGATCAGCGGCAAGGGAAACAACCGTCTGCAGTGCAACCCGAATAGTAGCACTAACAGCAGCATCAGCCATTTTTTTTTCTCGCTTGGGATTGGAATTAGGATGAAAGTGTTGTGATATCGATGATGGTGATGGGGGGATGCTTTCTGTGATGAGACAAGGAAGGAATGGTTCAACTTTAGCAGCTAAGAGCAAAATCTGTGGAGGCTAATTAAAACTTGCAACTTGCCCGGCTTCAACTTCTTCCACTTTTTGCAATTTGCCCGGCTTCACCTTGCAAAGCTGCACTCTAAAGACGTCACTTAGAAAGTTTTACCGCTTTACTGTGACAATTTGTAGCATGTGTTAGCCAGCTTCGGCTCTCTCATTCCTCCTTGTTACAATGCAGTAAAAGAGCAGGTACTAATAGGCCTGTCAACGGGTCGGGTCTAGACCCGGATCCGTGAAATTATTGCGGGTATGGGTAGGGATTTAATTCCGTTTCCCGGATCCGGATCCGGATCCGTTTTGTCAAACAAAAAAACGGGTCGGATACGGAATATAGTATTCCGGCCCGTATTAGACCCGGATCCGGATATAAATGAATTAATAATTTAAAAAATATATATTTATCAATATAATTTGATTAGGGTGATGTATTTTAATAAAGTTAATTTGATTTCTTTTCTTATTTGATTTTTTCTTTGCATTAGTTAGAAATTAGTTTACAAATATTTTTTTCTCATTTTTATTAGAAATTATAAAATTTGATAAATTTGTTCGGGTAGACCCGGATCCGGATCCGGATCCGGAACGTAGAATAAAAGACCCGTCAGGTAAACGGGTCGGGTCCGGGTCCGGAATAATGAATTCCGGCCCGGACCCGACCCGTTGACAGCCCTAGGTACTAATATAAAATTGGCTTAACTTCTAACTCATCATCTTGTAGTTTCTCTCTTATCCGTTTTCTTTTTAACTCCTTCCGAATCCAATTAAAAATGTCATAGTTTTGAATTTTAAAATGTCTCAAAATATTTATCATTTTATTAAACTCAAATTTACTTTTGATCTCTTTTTTTCAAGGTTTTTTTCCCATGTTTATCAATATTTGGCATTAAATTTAAATTTAGATTTTGAATTTTTGAGAACAATTTTAGATACAAATCTACTAACATCACCGTCAAGTTACTTACTATCCTTAAAAAAATTTGAATCCCGAAATACGACAAATAATTTGGAGCAGAGGGAGTATTATTTTAATTTCCATCAGTTGTGCTTGTATACTCAAATATAATGATGATTTCTTAATTGAATTTTGGTACTTTGTATTGCACTTTGTTATTTTAAAATTAAAACACATATTGCTTTTTTACCATTAAAAACTTTGGAAAGGTTTTTTACTTTCATAATAGATTAGTGCAAAATCATCACTGATTATTTTCCCCACAAACTCAATAGTGCAAAATAGTCCTGTTGATTATAAATATATATATATATATGTGTGTGTGTGTGTGTGTGTGTGTGTGTGTGTGTGTGTGTGTGTGTATGTATAAAAGATAATAAACAAAAAGGATTAATCACTAGAGGGAAAATTTTGTACAAAAGAACAATTGCTAACTTCTAATGATATAAATACACACCAATCTATATCTATATGTATTGAAGAAGGGGTTTTTAGCAGAGACCCTCTCAATAGCTTCCAAACTTTTCATTCTTTTTTCTAGATTTTTGTATTTGTTTTAATACATAAAAAGTAGTGGATTATAACCAACCTTATCACCAATCAAATTTAAATTTAAAATATTCCCACTATCTCTTAACTCATTCTACAACCACTCCTACAAATCCTCTGATCATCATCCTACGTTTTCCCCCACATTTTCTCCCACGTTCCCTACCACATTTCCTCCCACATTTCCCACTCCAATTAAGAGTCCTCCAATTTAAGAATTTCGCCCCAATTAAAACTCCTCCAAACATAGCATCCTTTTTCAATTTTCTTGCATACTCATTCGTATTTTTTGGTTAACCAAAACAAGAATCTATTATCTCTTTCATCTTTCTTGTGGTGTCAATCTTAGTCTTTAACTTAATTTCACCATGGAATATGTCCGCCTACAAGCATTTCAATAACAACTAAATTTCAAACTCGCACGATTGCAAAAGAGGAAACATTTGCTTAAGAAACGAACCGTACACCGCAACGATTCCATGTACCAGTTGGAAAAGCTTCAACAAATTTGCGCTGACGAAAGAGAAATTTCAAATCAAATTCGAAGGACAAAATCTAGGCTACGCCGATTGAAGCGTCATTCGCATCAAATTAAAAATTCCGGTACCGTGTATTCTTTAAATATTTGCATTTCCATTGTAATTTCAAATATTTTTTATTATTTTCGATTATTTCCAATACTAAAATATGTCTATAATTTGTTTTCAACCCTTATACTGATCGACTTAATTAACTCGATCAGTTAGTTCCCCCCACCCTCTCCCTCAGTTTCTTCTTTATTTTTTGTTCTCTATTGATTTTGTAAATTTATTTTTTTTGAGCAATTATGGAAGAGATTATGTGCAAAGACTTCAACGGAAATCAACCTTCTTGCGTAGAATTGGAAGTATATTCTTGCCGGCTAAATTTTGCAGGTCAGTCCCCTCTGGCCCTCATTTTTGTCATGTTTTGCTTTTCTTTTAAGGTGATTTGGTCTTTTACTTTCTTTATTTTTTCTCCTTTTATTTTCTGGGCTGGCGGATGGTTTTGATTGCATACATGATCAAATTTGTAATAACCTGGAGAAGTAATTAACTTAAATCTTGAAAGGGCTTTAGTGCTATGCCTTGATTGATAAGGTATTGCTTGCTTATATAATTGCGGATGGTATAGGAACCTGATTGAGGGTTTTACTATTTTTAACATAAATTGTATATTATAAAAATTTGTTTGTTTGTATTATTAACATTTTTTTAATTATTTTTTATTGCACACTTATCACATTAAAAAGGTGTTATAATAGTTACTTTAAAAATTTTATTCCAAATAATCTACTATCTAATTATAAAATTTTCGTGAAATGATCGTGCATGAAATAAAAAATTTTTTTTTTTGATAATAATTAAAAAATGGTTTATAATTGGAGAAAAAAATTCAAATACTACTAATAACTAAGGAACTATACGCCCACTATTAAAATTGGATTAATTTTTAATTTCGTCAGAAATGCTTTTGGCAACAGTGTATAACCTATATCTTCTTTCATTCTTATTAGATTAAATATTTTCGAATACTTGCTTACATTCAGAGCATTAACATAGAAAATATGTTCTACGAGCTATGCAAAAATTGTGGACAACTATGTGAAGGTCATTTTTCAAAGACAGTGTGTATGCATTGTAATGACGTGGTTGACACTATTATTAGATAATTAATTTCATGTACATTTAATTTCAACATATTTTTATGTATTGTATATCTATATCTTATTTGTCAAATAGGTACAATGTTAACATACAAATCAGATATTCCAGTGGTAACATGCATCTTAATTTACAAGACAGACATGCACGATACGTATTTGGTTAAGATGCTTCTGATCTCAGAGAATTACAAAGGAAGGTAGAATTTGTTAATATATATTTATTTTTTGTAGTACTATTTATAAACTATGTAAACAAATACACTAATTTCGTACATTCTTAATTATCAAAAAAATGGTGATAGGTTGTTCAGCCAACGAATTAATTCATGCAAAGATTGTGCATTTTCATTTGTAGTACGCACTCCACAAAATTCAATAGAGTTAATTAAATCATCAAATTTTGGCTTTCGTACTAAAAGTGGATTGGTGTGACGAGTATTCGCACCTTCAAGCAAGATTATCAAATCGAATGCTTAGTAGTTGTAAGAATTTCATTTTAACAACATTCAATTACATTCATTTGTAGAAATATATCATTCCCTTTTTTAATATAAATTTTTATTTTTTTTCAAAATCCATCTTTCGAAAAAAGACAGTTCTTGAATGATATACACATTCTATTATATTTCAAGCTATTGTTAAACAGATATTACATTTTAATTTTATTGGTACAATTTTTTCACCATTATTTGTTCACCCTTTTATTTTTATTTTGTTCAATAATGTCAGCACCGTACGTAGCACGGGTATTCCTACTAGTTAAACATAGCAAGTAATATGGACTTCATTAAAATACTCCCTTCGTTCTGAAATTTTAGCCGCATTTTAGGATCTTTGCATTTATAATTTCAATAATGCAAGAATCTTAAGTGATTTGGGTTTAGATTCCAGTAATACCCTGCTTGGAGTTTCCGGTGTTCATGCGTTTTTGAATGATAAAAGAATCACAACTTGTTACAAATTGAAACTGTTTTTGGCTCCTTGCAATCAAATTGAAATAAAGTAAAGGGTCAATTAGCACTAATCTCCAATGAGATCTTGCATCCCTACATTTCACCAAAAGGCAACCCAAGTAGTATCATCCAAATACACAATTTCCAAAACACAAAATCACTAGTTATATCAGCAGCAGCATCAGAGAGAGGGAGGGAGGTTTCAGCAGCAAGTAAAATCTGTGTGGAAGCTCTGAAGAAAGGATAAAAATTGGGTTATGAAACAAGTTTGGTCAATTGTGGCGGCCTTTAGTTGTTTAAAAATTCCATTATTTTTGTTGTTAGGAATTAAAAAAACAAACGAAAGTGATTTCAAATCATATCAGTAGGTAGGACTTGTTTTAAGTATTGCTTGGTCAATAAACCTAATAAGTGTGATTAATCTCTCTAGTTTAATTTAATCATCATTCACATCAAGTCATGATCACTTATTGGCGATTTTGTGTTCATTGGACGGACTATTTCTCTTTTCTGTTTTCTTATGTTAATCCGTGAATAATTAACGTCATCTAGATGAATAATTAAATAGAACAATCTTGTTTGCTTCTAACAATTTTAGTCAAACAAATAAACCTTGATTTCAATTCTTACCTATCCTTGAATATCAGCATCTAATCGCGCTTGCATGTGATGACTTCCCAATTTAAAAGTAGTGCTTATTGGCACACTTAACTGCCTCAACGCGTATAAGCGTAGTTCTTTGAAGGCTTCTTACCATAATATTTTGAGTTGTTATCACTTTACCCCCTTCAACTATATTACTACTATCAGTTTACCCCCTAACATTATCTTTTAGTCACTTCACTCCCATAAACATTTTTATTGGCCATAGGAATTACTTGCTTGTGAAATTGAGAAAGGATGAGAAATTGAATTGATCTAATCAAAATTATGGTATAATTTACTTGATATTTTGAGTGCTTGAGCGTAATTAAATGATTGCATAATGGTCATTTACCTTGTTTTGAGAAAATGAATTTGAATTATGCACATATGTTTAATTTCAAAGTGTTGGTTTGTAATTCTTAATTGATTGAAGACAAACAATAGTTCAAGTGTGGAAGAATTTCATAAGTGTGCATTTTATGTATTTTAAATGTGTTTTTTTAATTTAGTTTTGATATGTTTTATCCATTTTTTATAGGTAATGAATCGGTTTCTAGTGAAAGTTTGCATTTTATGGTTTAAGTGTGAAAATTACATTTCTATGGACTAAAAGGGTGAAGACTTCATATTTTTGTAGAATTCAAGAATTCAATCATAAATTAGAATGATATGAGAAGATATTTGAATGATTGTTGATTATTTGAAGGGATTTAAAGAGAATATAAAGTGTAAAATGTTCAAAAGAGGAAATACAATCAAGTATAAAAGAAAGGGAGTTTGACAGCTTCGATATCTATTCGTATTTCAACTATATCTCGAGTTATAAGTTTTGGATTAAGGTAATTCTTGAATCATTTTAAATCAAACACATAGCTCTACATTTCTTATGAAGATATCGAAATCCAGTTCATGAGTCTTCCTAGTCAAAATGTCAAAATACAGTTGGTCATTTTTTGTTGTTGAAAGCTGAAATGGGGTTCTGACTAGGCAAGGGTAATTTGGTGATTTATCAGTCTACAGACTTCCAAATCAAATGATTCTTAAAGTATTGGAAAGTTAACTCAAAGTAATATAACTTTTATATTTTTCACAAGAGTTAGTTAAACCTCTTTCATCAAAAAAAAATATTAGTGGAATTTTGTGCACAAACAGAGCAAATTTGAAGACTGACCAGAAGGCAAAACGTGGGCCAAATACACGACCTCAACCCATGTTTGCTGAGGTCATGTATTCTTCAACTGTAGTTACAACTTGTATTCTATTCACACAAACTTTTTGACCAATTTGTCTGCAAAAATTTCTGGCTAGATATGAGCAGGCAAGCATAGAGACTTTAAGAAACATTTTTTGGTGATTTCGAGAGACAATTTTGCCAACTAGAAACAACTCTCTTTGACCTTGAGTTCTCTATAAATAGAGGCCTTTGGGGAGCTAGTTTAATAGCTTTGGAAGGCTAGAAATGCTACCAAAAATGTAGTTTTCAATAGTTTTTCTTAGTTTATTAGTTTAATTCATTACTATAGTATAATTAATATAGTTTTTTCATCTTGTACTTGCAGCTAGATTTGGATGAAGATTTGAGAAGCAAAGATAGAGAGTTGAAACTCATGTGACAAGGGTGACTTCTCTTCTACCACTTTCTCTTTTGTATTTGAGTTCATGTTTGACTATATACAAGTGCGGTCTTTTCTTTCATGTTCTTCATGTTTGCTAAAGTTTATGCCTAGAATTATGAATGAACTTTCTATAACTTGTTAGTGATGTTTAATTGGTAATTCAATAATATTATTTTGAACAAGTTGTTTGTAACTTTTACTTTTCTAATCATGATTAACCAATCATTAATTGTAATAATATTAAGGTATAAAATTTGCAATGAGAATTGGGATTTAACACTAATTTAAGGAAGTGATAAATCTAGGGAGTTCACTCACGAGAGTAGAGGTGCATCTATGTGGGTTTAGTAACTTATTTCATGTAATTTCATAAAAGGAATGATCTTATAGCTATTTTCATAACCATGAGAGAAGGTATGATTTAGTTACAAGTATAGTTGATTCTTTACAAGAGTAGGTTTCATATCATATATTTTACATGTTTGAAGTGTGTTTTATTAATTAGTTTTGGTGTGTTTTGATTGTTTTTATAGCTATAAACTAAGCTTTTAGTCAAGTTTGCATTTCATGGTTTAAGTGTGAAAGGTTACACTTTTATGGATAAAAGTGGTGAAATTTCATATTTTTGTAGGTTTAATGATTCAATCATCAGTTGGAATGAGTTTAGAAGATAAATGAATGATTGTTGATGATTTTAAAGTGATTTAAAGAGAATATGAAGTGTAAAGAGGAAATGCAATCAAGAATAAAAGAGGAAAAGTTAGACAGTTTTGACATTTGTTTGTATTTTAGTTATATCTTGAACTACACGCATCAGATTGAGATGATGTTTGAGCTATTTCGAAGATAACACATAGCTCTACATTTCTTATGAAACATCTAAAACCATTTCATGAGTTTTCCTAGTTAAAATGTTGAAATACAGTTAGTCATTTCTTTTGTCGAAAGTTAAAATAGAGTTGTGATCAGTGAAGGGTATTTTGGTGATTTCATAGTCTACATAACTCCAAATTGGATGACTTAAAGCATTGGAAAGTTAACGCAAAGGCCTGCAACTTTCTTGGTTTGGAAAAGGACTAGTTCAGGCTCCATCATTAAGAAAATATCAATTAAATTGGTGTTAAATTCACAGAAATGAAAACGTAAGTTCTAAATACACGAGCTCAAGTTACATATTCATGAGGTCACGTATTCTCCCCTATTTTCTGCAACTTGCACATCAATTTGTTCTATATTCATATAACTTTTTTAACTCATCTACAACTCAAAATTTCATCTGTAAAGAAGAGTAAAAATTTGGAGAAACAACTTTTGATGATTCTAAGAGCCAACTAGCACTAACTTTAACATTATTACTTGGAAGTTTAATCCTCTATATATAGGGGCCTTGGAGAGCGTATTTGACAACTTTGGAGGACTAGTGACACTATCAAAATGTAATCTCTTCTTCATTAATTTTTCTTAGTTTATTAGTATACTATAGTTAGTATAGTTTTTCCATCTTGTATTTGTAGTTAGATTTGGATGAAAATTTGAGGAACAACAATGGAGAGTTGGAAGTCACGTGACAAGGGTAACCTCTTTCCTATCACGTTCTCTTTTGTATTTGATTTCATATTTAATCATAATACAAGTTTGGATTTTGTTTTCATGTTCTTCATGTTTTGCTAAAATTTATGCTTACAGTTATGGATGAATTTTCTATATTTTATTTGTGATATTTACTTGGTTATTTGATAATATTATTTTAAACAAGTTATTTATCACTTTTGTTTCTCTAATCGTGATTAATTGGCCATTAATTGTGATAATCTTAAGTTGTTAAACTTGCAATGAGAATTGGGATTTAACACTAGTTCAAGGAAATGCTAAACTTAGGGAGTTTACTCATGATAGTTGAGATGCACTTATGTGGATTTAGTGACTTATTTCATGTAATTTCATAAAAAGAATTAATTTGTACTTAATTTCATAATACGAGAATAGGTATGGTTTAGTTACAAGTATAGTTGATTTACTACGAGAGTAAGTTTCATATATATTAAAAAAATTATGTCATAACTAGTCAAGATAATTACATTCAATTAACCGGTAATTTCATTTGCAAGAGTAGAGAAGAATTCCATAACCGTATTAGCTTTCTATTATTATTTTATTACTTTTATTTTATATTTGTTATGTACATTTAATTTTTTTGTATTTGTGGTAGTCTAAATAATAAAGAAATTTGAAAACCATTGGTAATTGACAGTTTTCTCTGTGAGTTCAACCCTTAATACCCTATACTCAATTTCAACTCGTAAACTTGTGAAAAATTGCATGTAGGATATTTAAAATTTTATAAATATAAAACTTGACTGTAGAGTAAACTTGATTGTTATATGCATACCCCGTGCTTATTAATATATATGAGGAAATCATGCCACAACTAATTAAGATAATAGCATTCAATTAATCGATAATTTTATTCATAAGAGTAGCAAGGAATTCTATACGTCTAGGAGTTTATTATTATTATTTTTATAACTTTTATCTTATATTTTTAGTGTAAATTTAATCTCTTACACTCGTCATAATTTAAATAATAAAGAAGTTCAAAAATCATCAGTAATTGACACTCTTTCCTGTGGGATCGATATCTTATATCTCTCATGCTCGATAAACGATTTGTATACTTGCAGAAAATGGGGTATTTTAGATTTTATTAAAATTTGGTGCATGGTAGAATCTCGTCACTTTTATTAAAACTAGTCCCATATCATCTATATAAAGAAAAATGACGACACAATACTCTTGAGTGAACTTAGCATTAATGAACTTATCAGTATTATTGTACCTAAATCCACTCGAGAGCAATATAGATTCAAATTTCTAATGCCATTGTTTAGGTGCTTGTTTCAAGCCACATAATGATTTAATTTAGCTTGTATACTTTCTTTTCATTTTCAAGCATAACAAACCTTTTAGGTTGTTTCATATGCAATCTTCATCCAAATCACCATTTAAAAATGCTGTTTCAATATTCATTTGATGTACAAACAAATTGTACAATAAAATTAGGGACAATAGCACTCTAATGGAAGTTATTCTTGTAATTCGTACATATATTTCAAAATAGTCTATTTCTTCCTTTGTTTAAATTCTTTAACTACTAACTTTGCTTTAAAGGTCAGTAAAGATCTATTCGTGGCATATTTTCTTCTAAATACCCACTTATAATCTATTGGTTTTGAATATTTAGGTAAATCAACTAGAAATTAAGTATTGTTAGACAATAATTAGTCCATTTAATCATTTACCACTTCTCTCCTAAAAGAAGCATCTCTTGATGACATAATTACACTAAATATTTTAGAATCATTTTCTACATTCAGCAAGATTGGAATCTTATTTTGTAGAGATTCCCTATTGCTTTCAACTAAGAAAACAATAGCTCATGAAGATATGAAGTATGAGAATAGATGCTTTTCTTTCCTTGGTCTTTGACATCTTTTAATTTCAATAGGAGCGCCACTTACCTTCTCCTTATTACTTGAAAAAAAAATCAATATTTTGGAGTTGTTATAAACCATTAGTAGGATCCACAACAGGCTCTAAATCTTTGAAAAACTTATTCTCAAAATTTTGCAATTCTCTTGATTTAACTATAATATTAAAATCAAGGTCAACCAACCTATAAGTTTTAGAATTTTCTGCACAGCCTACAAACGTACCGACAATTTTAGCCACACCTTTGGTCACATCTGTAGCATATGTTAGCCAACCTGCAACTTGACTCTTCAGTCACATTTCTTATTGGCTAAAACAACATAGCTTCGGGATAAGAAATTCTGATAGGAATGTCAATTTTAGGATGTTGCAGCTCAAGATGTAGGCCATTTTGGTTCAAAACAGAATTGATTTAGCAATACAGGGAGTTGAGAAAAAGTCAAAGAGTGCAATAGATGCAAATTTTACTGACGTAAAATGTTACTACGTGAAACTTATCAAATGATGGGTCCAAACTTGTCCTCATAGTTATTCATAAGGAAGTAATGTTAGCAAAAGTCAATCGAAATTTCATAAATTGTCCTTGTGATTCTTTCAGAAATGAAAGTGATGATCAAAGCTAAATGTTAACGGAAGAGTAAGATGATAATCTTACCTCTCTTTCTAAAATGATGTCCTAAACTAGAGTTTGGCAAACTAATCCAAAGGAAAAATGCAAAATTTATATTCATGTACTAACATTCATAAATTTTCTGATTGACTTCTTTTAGCTGACTGATTTCTCCTGATAGACTAAAATCTTTGGGCCAAACAAAAATCAGAGAAGGACAACCGTTTTCAGAAAGAAGCGCGCAGGTAATGGATGTCAATGTCTTTTTAGTGTTGGCAAGTAATTTCCTTCTTCCTTCAATTCTTAAAGTAATTTATCAACTTCCATTAAGTGGGCATGCTGAAACATGCTCATCTAACCTAACAAGCATATACTTTGTGGTAGAGTACCTCTAATTAGGTGAAACCATATTGGAGAACTTCACGTGAAACATTTATCATTGATCTCCCACCTTCATTAGTCTTCCGAAATGTTACATATTCCAAGTGGTTTCTTAATAATTATAAATTATTTTTAGATTTGCTTCTCTTTCTTAGCTAAAACATAACAGATAGAATGCTACAATAACAAAACCTGTTTATTGATCATTCAAACTGCAATTTTTTGGATTGTGACTATTTATCTTGAAGTAGACATGTCAAAATAATTTAGTTAAGAACCAAGAAGGTACCTGGTACTTAGAAGGACTAACTGTTAGCACAGTTGTATAATGAGTCTCTCTTGTTCTTGAGTGGAAAGGTATAACCTATTGTCCAATTTACAAAGGCCTTGCAAGATCTGGCGGGAACCTTTGAACGAGGATGTAGAAATTCTTGCCGCTGCAATTGCAGCACCAAAACTTTGAACTATTTCCATCCAAATGAACGACTGACACTGCAATCGCATGCTTCGTTTATGTCATCCAAATGATCACCAATGCTGTCTACAATGTCTAACTTCTTTCCATCAAATCTTGTCACCTCTGGAATTAAAGTATCAGTACGCCCAGTTTTCTTCAAGCAAGTCTTGTACCTTGATAGCTCTCCAGTACCAGCTACCATGCTCTTCTCTAATTCTTCTCAATCCATACTACTTTCTACAAGCCTGGCACAAGCCACTCTGTTTTCAGCATGCTACAAGGAGAAAAGGTTCAATATTTGATTTATTTTGTTAAATATTCCAGAAAATAGATAAAAAACAAAAATGAAAAGCCATTGAAACAGGCCAATAGACATGCAGTCAACATTTTTTACCTTCATTTCCATATTCTGAGCAATATATGGCATTCTGGCGGGAAAAATCACAGATAACTACCTTCCATCTTCAAAAACTGACTGATAAGTGAAAATAACTCCTCCCTCTTGACATTCTCATAAGAACAACACGGGAACGTTGGTGTTCTTTGTCCAAAAAGCATGATCTCTACTTCCTAAACAAATTCTGGAAAAAAAAAAATCATAATATTACGTCACAATGCTACTTCAGTTATGACATTAAGTAGAAGCATGAGCCACGGAAAGGTTTGGTCTGGTAACTAGTGCAACAATTTATCACTCAAAATCCTAAAGAGCAAAAACCAAGTTATATTCCATCGATTAAGCCATAAAGAACACTTACTAGTGCAGATACCACCCTACATTTAGGCCCAATTCCCCTGTACTTCTAGTAAGTTGGGTGGAGAAATTTCCAAACCACATACCTCCTCATCTTTCTTCAAAAATGATTCGAAACCACAACCTGATGTTGCAGTTGGAGAATGCGAAAAGTGCAATAAGATGCTCTAGAGGTTCCAGGCTGACTCTGCCTTAAGCAAACTTTTGAGCCTTTCACAATGTTTCGGCGCTATCACTGCTTGCTGCTTCATTGACACTTGTGGCCTGCAAGGCCATAATATTATCAATCCAATTCACAAAATAGAAAAGTAGCTAGTTATAGTATCTGAATTTTAAAAATTTTAAAAGATGATAAGAATTTATAGTTTTAGCAGCAGCCTAGTTCCTCTGCAAACAATTTCAACTTAATCGACATTGAGCTAATTTTACGGCAATCATAATTCAGAGTCTTAAAAAAAAAAAAGAACATACCCCATTGAAGCTGAATGTTTACGCTTGCAATGTTAGTAAATTTTGTTGACAAACAGTCAGCAAGTTCATATATAATAGTATATTGTACCTTGTTATTCATCCTTTTAATGGTTCAGAAAAGCAGATGAAATCCACAATTTTTGTTGTCTTTGAATTTGCTCGTAACTCTACTTTGTTAATGACATGAATCAGCTTAAAAATTGAAAGAGAGAGTAATCTTCGCCAGAAGAAGTAGAGGAATAGATATTTACAGAGAAAAAGAGTGAGAAACAAATACGGATAGAATAAGATGGTGAAGAACAGCGATATCCAATAATGAGAAGCTATTAATCAAAATTTTGCAGTGAAATCTTACCCGATGGCTCGGAAAGATGACTTTTAATCAATTTCAAGCTCTTGAATATTAGAGATCTTGGGCCACTCGGAGCCGCTTTGAGGAGTGCATGTTTCGGTTAATAGAGGACAATTACCAATTTCCAGACGTCTTAATTTGAGGCGTTCCATGGCAGCCATGGAGGGTAAATATTCAAGCTTTTCGCAACCGAATAGGATTAGCTCATCAAGAGACGCAAGGTTCCCAAGCCAATCTGGTAAAGCTTCGATTGCTCCGAAGTCACGTAGAGATAGTGATGTGATGGTAGTCAAGTCTTGAAGCTGATGTGGCAGAGATTTCATGTCAGGCATTCCACGTAAAGACATGTGTCGGAGTGTTGATGAAGATGCTAATCCAGCCCAATCAAATTCGATTACAGAGTAATCCGAGAAGGGGCCAATCTCCACATTCCTTAAGCTGGTAAGATAGCCAAATCCACTAGGCATCTCAGCAATCAAGTTGGGACACCACCATAACGAGAAGCTCTCGAGAGAAGGGGTTCGTCGCAAATCAAGGGGAAAGATAGACGTACACGACTCGAACATCTCCACTGGTAATCTTGTGAATGATTCGCACATATCGACAGTAAATTCCTCAAGAGACTTAAGGAGGCTTTTCTGTCCAAATGAATTTTTAGGATTTGGATATCCAAATGAATCAATTCTCGGGCAACCCTGTATCTCCAAGTGCTCTAAAGCTTGAAATTGATAAAGATCTTCTGGCAACTCATTCCTCTTAATGTTGTTATATTATTGACAAACCTCAATTCTACACTCTGAAGAGTTGGAAAAAGACAGAGTCGCTCAAGCATGTCAGTGGGTAGACTGTCACAGCCATCAATACTCAAGCTGCTCTCTGGTCGTCTCACTAATTTCAGAGACTCGATGCGGTGATAACTACCACCACTTAATTTAAGGGACGAGAGATTGGCTATATTGCTCAAAACCTTTTCTGCCAGCGAAACATGGCAATTCTTTTTTATTTTCAATACATCAAGACTTGGGAAACGACTTGGAGTTGGAATGGTGGTCAGCTGGGGGCAATTACTAATAGACAACTTTTCAAGCACGGGAAACACATCCATCACATGTACTTCACCTGCGGTTGACATCATCTCGGGTGCGTCCTTCCACTCTTTCAAATTTTTCATGCTTTCAAGAGAGAGTTTTTTAAGGGCTGGAAAGAATGTTTGTCTGCTAATAGTGCTTGAACCTCCTGATCCGCCGTCCTCCTCAGCACTTGTACTGTAGAATGAAAGCCCAATGCTTCTTATGTTTTCCAGTCCAGTCAGATATAGATGTTGGAGGGATGACAGCTGTCCTAGGGTGGGGAGTTCTCTGCATCTTGTGCAATCCTTCACCCGCAACTCCACCAGTGATGTCAATGTCAAATTCATGAACCATTGTGGGAACTGATCACCCATGAACTTCAAAATTTGTAACTCTTTTAAATTTGGGTGAGGTTGGAGGCCTTCCAACACATCTTCATCACAATTAACACTTCCCCGATACCTATTGCACCACTCATATACCAACCGATGCAGATTTGGCTTTTTAGATAGGTTTGCTAGTTCAGCATCATCTTTGCCATTTACTAATTCAAGATTTCTGATCTCCAAGGAGCCTTTAAGATCTTGCAAGGTTCCAAGCTCTTGGATACCACGACCTTCCTCTTGACGACCAATGTTAAAGAACTCTAACTTTTGAAGACAAGTCCATCGTCCAATCCCGGATGGCATTTGGATTTCTCGTCTTGTATAATTATTATTATTATAGTGAAGATGTCTCATGCTAATCAAATTGCTCATCTCCTTTGGAAAACCTTCTTCAAGCATGCCAATTCTCAGTGTTTGCAAACAGTAAAGTTTGCAAAGAGATTCTGGCAAAGTTCTAATCCAAGAACCTGAAATGTCAAGTAAGTGTAAATGGATTAGTTTGCCAACGGAGGTCGGCAACTCTTTGACATCTGCTCCAAACAATTTTAGGACATGCAAATATTTGAACTTTGATAACATATCATCAGCTATGCCACCCTCCAGAAATAATGTGCGAAGTGATGATTTTTCACTGATGGTTTCCACCATTCTTTCGGATGAGTATACTGCAAGGTAACGGTCCTGATTGCTGCTGTTACGATTCAAAATTGATTTTGCAAAATCATGCACAAGATCATGCATTTTATACCATGTTCCCCTCCAATCTCTTACTTCTTCCAATAAGGAAGTTTGCAGCAAAATTCTCAAATACTCATATCCTATTTTCTCCATCATTCTTTCATTTTGGGAATCCGGTCGAAGAAAGCCTTCAGCCATCCAAAGCTCAACTAGTCGATCTTGTTCCAATTCAGTATCTTGATGAAAAATTGAGCAATATGCAAAACATTTCTTAACCGGTGCAGGTGACAGATGATCAAAACTCACCTTAACTATTTGCTCAATCCCACCCTGATCTCCATTCAAGAGACTCTCCTCCAAAATAGATAGCCAGTCCTCTTTTCTCTTTTTAGATAACAAACCTCCGATTAACTTTGCTGCCAGAGGAAGACCGTCACATCTTCTTAAAACTTGGCGCCTCATGTCTTCCAATTCTTTTGGTACTTCTTCCCCTAAAGTTGCCCATTTTTTAATGATAGACCAGCAATCATCATTGCAGAGCTTTCCTAGCTCATGGCGAGTAAAATTGATCTGCGGATGTCTAGACAGAATAATTGCCACTTCTTGCAGACGAGTGGTAACAAGACACCAGCTCCCTTTCTTCGCATTGAGTCCCGCCAATGTGCTGAAAAAGTCATTCAACAATACTTCTTGATCATTCCACAAATCATCAAGAACAAGGAAATATTTTTTTTCCTTGAGTTCATCTTGAATTTTTTGAACTATTACCTCCCTACGATCCCCTTCAACCTTTCCTTCTATCAACGATTCTAGAATCATTTTGAAGACCTCCTCGATTCTATCTACTTTTTCAGCCACACAAACCCAAATTTTTTTTGTCAAAATGCTTATGAATCTGTGATTTGTTGTAAACGGCTTTAGCTAGAGTTGTTTTTCCTAAACCACCCATGCCAGTTATGGGAATAACTGAAATAACACTTTCAGTTTCGGTCAACAACTTCTTAACGATTTCTGATTCATCCTCGTCTCTTCCTAGGACATCTCTTCGAACAATAGTAGAGGAGAAATTTCTAAGTTTGTGATGAATTTTAAAAAAATTCTACAAAAGGGGTGATTGTGGCGAGGAATTCTGTCGGGGGGGTCTTCGCATTCGTGAAATGCGAGCTCAGGAGAGCTCGCATTTCACGAATGCGAGCTCTGTTGAGAGCTCGCATTCCTGGAATGCGAGCTCTCATTTGCTCGCATTACAGAGATGCAAATTTTTTTGCTTTTTTTTTTTTGGAGGCAGAGATTTATATTTTTGTATTAAAACAAAAAAGGATTTTGACAATCAGTGATTTTGACAATCAGTGATTCCGGAAATGGGCTGTACCATCCTGTCAGTAGGTTCCTTGTTTCTTATGACAAAATTCAAGCCTGAACTGGATGTCGGAGATGCCCAACGTATTAATAGTTCATTTCCTGTTGAGATGTTCCATGAAGCTTGCCACTCCTCAGGTGGTTCTTGAGGTGTTGCAGTGCCTACAACTTTCTCTGCACTAGATGACAATTGCATGTAAAATAAGCACGGAGGTTGAGAAGGAAACAGCATAACTGAAGAATCAAAACAGGTGGAAGCAGTGAGAAAGAGCTACATTAAAGCACATACCAGGGGCTTTGCCGATCGAACTACAAACGTAGGACCAAGAACCTTCACGAATCTCTATGATCCTGTCCTCCCATTTAACAGCTGAAGGTGTTTCGCCTCCTCTCCTCCAAAATCCTCCTCCCATCCTGGATCATTCTTAATCATTTGAAACTCAGCATACTGAATAAAGCAGACACTAATCACTGAGCTCGCATTTCCGGAATGCGAGCTCGAATTGAGCTCGCATTCCCGGAATGCGAGCTCAGTGAGCTCGCATTTTCAGAATGCGAGCTCAGTGAGTTCGCATTCTCAAAATGCGAAGACCCCCATTTACAGAAACTCCTCCAGGAAACGCCCTCGTTGTAGAATTCTTTTTTTTTTTCATCATAAACTAAGAATTCACCCAATAGTAGAGTCGGTCTGTCGGCTTGTTGTGGCTCCAGCAGCAACAGTAGCGAATGCTTCTTCAACTTGGTGCTTGTAGGCCAGTCCCAAACCTTCTGCATCCCGATGGATCCTTTGAAGGTTCGTGTTGATCTCCCTGATCATTGAACCCAACCTCCAACGAAAACCAATTTTATTAAAGAATGAAAAGAAGAACAGTACCTTCTTTTTCGTGAGTTGATTTTGATACTTCACCTTCCGACGAAGATTTTCATAGTTGAGCTCGTCCAGCACATTGTCGGCTTTGAAAACCTCTTCTTCCAGCTGCTTGAGCCAATTTTGCACCACTGGGCTATGCTTGTCCTCGTCGGCACCAGCCAAGAAGCCTCGGATCATTGCAGCAGATTTGTCGAGTCTCACCAGTTCCTCTGGGAATTCACGAGCCAGATTAACATGATCAGCGGCTAGGGAAACAACCGTCTGCAATGCAACCTGAATAGTAGCACTAACAGCAGCATCAGCCATTTTTTCTCACTTGGGATTGGAAGTAGGATGAAAGTGTTCTGCAATGGTGATGGGGGGATGCTTTCTGCGATGAGACAAGGAAGGAAGGGTTCAACTTCAGCAGCTATCAGAGGGAATGAAATTTGCAAGTCGACTTTCAAATTTGTCCGCCTTTGCAATATGCCGGGCTCCACTGCACGCTGTAAAGACACAGCTTTAGACTCTAAAAGACACAATGGACCACAGCGCCACTCTAAAGACACATAAAAGCTGTCCGTGATTTACGGATCACAGCCTCTGTTATCAAAGGAAGTTGCAGACAATTGCATGTGTGAGCCAGCCTGCAACTTGACTCTTCGGTCACATTTCTTATTGGCTGAAACAGTAGGCTCTCTGATTCCTCCTATCACTAATACTAGGAGGCATGAACGCGCTTCGCGCGATAGAAATATAAAATGGCCTGCCCAATTTTAAACTAATCAAAATAATTTTAAACTAATCAAAATAATAATTTATATAGAAAAGTATATTTTTTACTATAGGTATTCTATAAGTCTGAAGTTTTGTTGATATTTCTTGGATGTTTGTCACAAAGCCTCTGGTAAGTGGCAACTGGCAACGTAGTATATAATACAGGGTAAGGAAAGAAAGAGCACCCCACAAGTTTCTGTTGTTTATGATTATAATTAACAGAACAACATTTATATCTCTGTAGTTTGTTTTCAAGGCATGACTCTTTAATAATTTTCCAAATTAAGAATTTTTATTTTTCTTTCAAAATTTTTTTTCTATGTCTATTACATCTAAACTATTAATTTGGTAATCAATTATTCTTATTTAGTAGTGAGAGGTAAACAATAACAGGCTTTAAAAAAATTATAGGGAAAATGACCGGTTTCATCCCTTACATTTCACAAAATTATTCTTTTCGTCCCTCACTTTTAAAACGAAGCAATTTCATCCTTGACATTTAAAAACTGAAGTTATTACATCCCTGAACCCAATTTTCAATGTGAATCAAACCATCTATCAACCTAATTACAAATTTTGGGGATATAATTGGTAGATCACTTGACTAACTCAACTTGATATTCACGTGAAATTTAATAAAACCAAAAATAAAAAATAAAAAATTATAACATAACAAATAAGAATTAATCTTCCTACATTGTCATTGTATACATTGATGGGTTTATGTACCTGCCATATCATTCAATTTAAATTTAAACACCAAATTTTATATTTATGATATACATGTAGACTCACAAGCGTATATACTAACGCTACATGAAAGATTTATCCCAAAAAAGAAATCCTATTATTCCAAGACAAAGAATGACCTTTTATGTTATACTTTTTATTTTTTTTGGTTCAATAAATGTCATGTGAATATGATCTATCAATTCTATCTCCGAAATTTATTACTGGGTTATTGGATGGTTTGATTTAAATTGACAATTAGGTTCAGGGATGTAATAGGTTTAATTTTTAAATGTCAGGGACCAAATTGCTTCATTTTAAAAGTGAGGGACGAAAAGAATATTTTTGTGAAATGCAAGGGATGAAATAGGTCATTTTTCCAAAATTATAAATTAATTTTAATATTGTCATTCTATCAAATATTTATCTTTTTTTATCATACGTCTTTGTTAGCTTCCATTTTGATTTTGAGTGTCATTAATAGGTGGTATAGAATTGCAGTATTTCTTAAGTCCTAACAACACTTCCTTTTAAAACTAAACCGTATTAACAAAAAACAGTAAAGATAAAAAAAATAGTATACTTAACAACTCTCTTCAATTTCAAACAAAATATATATTAACTAAGTATTGGTATTTTTAGGCAATTTAACTTCAGTTTTATTACGGTTCTTTCTAATGAAAGAGAATAAAATTATTACTAAACAGTAAAGACAAAATTCCAATTCCATGAAAACAAAAAGAGTTTTGATTCGATTTTTTCTAAATAATTCTAACTAATATAATGAAAAAATTATTACCAGACAAGAAACACAAAATTCCAATTCCATGTTAAAAAAAAACATTTTTTGATTCTATACAAATCGTAGGAAAAAAAATTGTAAATGACAAAGCTATTGTATTACAAACCAATTGTTTCTATCTTGAGTTTTACGAGCCTTTAATTCATAACTAAGTGTTATAATTCAAATGCTTTACAAATGGTTGAAACAAAGCAAACAATAACTATTTAATAGTTATAATCAGTAATACCTAAAACATATTAATATACAACAAAAAAAATTATATACAATATTATAATTCATTAATACATACAAGATCAAATGTCATCAGGTATAAGTAAATGCAATTACATACGATATAAATCAAAGTCTACCTAATCTAACCTTTTTTTAAAATTAAGAAACAAAATTATCAATAAGAGACAAACAAATACAAAATATCATTTTTTTATTTTAATTAATATACATATTTAATATACGTAGACAGAGCAAAATTATAATGAAATGAACAAATTTATCTCTCATTTGTATATAATTATTTAGAACTTGGCATAAACAAGTGATTGCAACCCAATAATTTAGGAATAATTAATTAATTTTGTTATCAAAGTGGATAGAGGGACCATTAAATTTTTTTTAAAAAAAGAAATTTGTTATATTGGAAATTCAGAACCAAAGACTGTAAAAATGTCGTAGTACTTCATGGAATCTACAAAGACAACACATGCCTTGGCGGCACTACTAAACAAAGCAGAAGACGGATTCTGGGACCTCATGAATTGTCCTTTATTCCTTGTAACGAAGTAATGGTAGTAAAAATAATCCTTTCATCATGGCTGTTGCTCTTATCTTCTCAGCGAATTTTCGTATTTGGAGTTTGGAGGCCAGAGAAGCTTGTACAATAATAACTTAGCCAATAATGAATTCCTAGTCTGTACACACTGTATATAGTGAATGGATAGGTTCTGATGGTTTAGACAATCAAATAATCAGAAATAAGAAAGAAAAACAGCTTAGATCCGTACTCTAATGGTCTCTAAAGCAGTTCACAAACAGATACAAATTTCTGGATCCAGTCCTCGCAGCTTAAAGCAAGCAAGGGATTTACAAGCAGCTGACTACATCAATGATAAATGATTTATGAGCACAACATTTTTTAATACCTTCAGCAAGGTACTTTTCTGACATTTTCATGAAGCTAATAAGTCTAACTGGTCAATCAAAATACATCGTATAAGAAATTAAGATTCTACCTACTGCGCTGACTGTACAAATATACAGAGTGATATAAAGCCATCCAGCCTAAATCTTCCACTCCTCTTCTGATCAAAACTCTACAAATTACAATTGAAAAGGAAAAAATTAGTCAGAGCACATAAAGCACAAGTAAACTCTAGGTAAAAATTAGTCAGAGCACATCAAGTGCAAGTTGGCTCCGAAACCTCAGATCATTAAAACACAAATCATGATAAGTGTTCAGAAACTGGAGATTTAGATAACAAGTCAAATCAGTTGAGTGTCAAAGTGTGAGATCATTAAGACACAAATCGGTTGAGTGTCAAATCATTGAAACACACACTGTTCAGATCATTAAAAAACACAAATCAGTTGAGCATCAGAGTACTTCAAAGATAACAAGTTTGCTATATGCATATAAATCCTCACCGTTCTAAGAGAAACTGGATATTGTATATAAAATAGAAGGTAACATACATGAAGTTTGCTCAATCTCCATCTTAATTAGCCTTTTTCTTTTTGGGAGGGGAGGGTGCAGTTCAGATCACCTCATGAGTAAATAAAAGAATATCATCAGAACTCAAACATTTATCCAATTGTATTGTGAAACTTACACCTAACAATCATAGTAAACAGTACTATAACCTTGTAGACATCGTCTGGAACAAGATATCCACGGCCCCTGCAGGTAAACAGATAAAATATCATGATTAGCCCTTGGGTCAGAGCATATAAGAGGAGGTACCTCAAACTGTGAAACTTAAACATTCCTTTTCTTATGATGACAGAAATTAGAGAAAGAAAAAAGAAATAAGTAATGAGCTTGTAGATATACATTGGGAAAATGTTACCTAATTCTGCAAATTAAAAGAAAACCAGATAAAAAAATATATTTAGAGAAAAATCTTACAAGCAGTAATTTGAACTTCGACTCGCCATCACAACAGTCATCTCCGCATTGTACACCTCGTTGTTGCTGAAAATTCAAATAGAGATATATTATATATTATTTGTACTGTTTAGATGAAATCAAATAGATATACACATGAATTTAAAAAAAAAAAAAACTATTCGTACACGTGGTCAATGAGAGATGAAAAAATTCATTTTATGAAATGTGAGGGACGAAACAATTTATTTTGTGAAATGTAAGGAACTATAGATGGATTATGTAAATTTGTTTTGACAATTTTGTCTCTAAAAAATGATCATATGCAAGGCAGGCATATGATGAATTCCGACTAAAAACTAGTTAGAAACCTAGATAAGGACCAAATTTGACAAAAGTGAATTTGTAAGGGACATAAAAGTACACTTTTAAAAATAAGGGACGAAAAAAGTCATTTTACAAATTATGAGGGACGTTTTGAACGATTTTTCTAAATTTATATTCATGTACTAACATTCATAAATTTTCTGATTGACTTCTTTTAGCTGACTGATTTCTCCTGATAGACTAAAATCTTTGGGCCAAACAAAAATATGAAAAGTACAACCGTTTTCAGAAAGAAATAGGTAATGAATGTCAATATCTTTTTAGTGTTGGCAAGTAATTTCCTTCTTCCTTCAATTCTTAAGAGTAATTTATCAACTTCCATTGAGTGGGCCTGCTGGAACATGCTCATCTAACCTAACAAGTGGATACTTTGTGGCAAAGTACCTCAATTAGGTGAAACCATGTTGAAGAACTTCATGAGAAACATTTATCATTGATCTCCCACCTTCATTAGTCTTCTAAAATGTTACATATTTGAAGGGGGTTTCTCAATAATTATAAATTATTTTTAGGTTTGCTAGTCTTTCTTAGCTAAAACAAAACAGATAGAATGCTACAATAACAAAACCTGTTTATTGATCATTCAAACTGCAAATTTTTGGATTGTGACTATTTATCTTAAAGTAGGCATGTCAAAATAATTAAGTTAGCTAAGAACCAAGATGGTACTTAGGGTTCGTTATTTTACTAAAACAAATTCAACACTGAGCCTGGTACCTAGAATGACTAACTGTTAGCATAGTTGTACCATGAGTCTCTCTTGTTCTTGAGTGGAAAAGTATGACCTATTGTCCAATTTACAAAGGCCTTGCAAGATCTGGCAGGAACCTTTGAACAAGGATGTAGAAATTCTTGCATCTACAATTGCAGCACCAAAACTTTGAACTTTTGCCATCCAAATGAATGATTGACACTGCAATCAGATGCTTCGTTTATGTCGTCCAAACGATCACCAATGCTGTCTACAATGTCTAACTTCTTTCCATCAAATCTTCCCACCTCTGGAACTAAAGTATCAGCACGTCTAGTTTTCTTCAAGCAAGTCTTGTATCTTGATAGCTCTCTAGTACTAGCTGCCATGCTCCCCTCTAATTCTTCTCCATCCACATTACTTTCTACAAGCCTGGCACAAGCCACTCTGTTTTCAGCATGCTACAAGGAGAAAAGGTTCAGTGTTTGATTTATTTTGTTAAACACTTCTAGAAAATGGATTTAAAAAAAGACATTGAAATCGGCCAATAGACCTGCAATCAACATTTTTTACCTTCTGCATTCTGAGCAATATATGGCATTCTGGTGGGAAAAACCAAATAACTACCTTCCATCTTCAAAATCTGGCTGATAAGTGAAAATAACTTCTCCATCTTGCCATTCTCATAAGAACAACACGGGAACCTTGGTGCCTAAACAAATTCTGGCAAAAAAAAAATCACAATATTACACCGCAGTGCTACTTCAATTATGACACCAAATAGAAACATGACCCACAGAAAAGTTTGGTCTGGTAACTAGTGCAACAATTCATCACTCAAAATCCTAAAGAGTACAAATTAAGCTAAATTCCATTGGTTAAGCCACAAAGAACACATACTAGTGCAAATGCCACCCTACATTTAGGCACAATTACATGACTCAAACATACTTGCAAACTTGGACCAATTTTCTTGTACTTCTAGTAAGTTGGGTGGAGACATTTCCTCCTCATCTTTCTTCAAAAACGATTGGAAACCATAGCCTGATGTTGCAGTTGGAGAATATGAAAAGTGCAATAAGATGCTTTAGAGGTTCCCGGCTGACTAAAAAATGTAGATAAAATATATACTCTCTCATACACACACAAAAATTTAGATTTCATATTCATTTTATCAAAATTATACAGTAATATTTAAAAATTAATTCCATCTAAAGTTTAAAAAGATATTGGTATTAAATTTTATAATGCCAACCTTGAGGAGCATGATCTGATTAATAATTACAAAGTAACAAATACATAACATTCCAGTGGTGTATCATGCTAGGCTTTGCTTAACATTGTACTGATACTAGAAGAGCAACACCTAATTCCAGGTCGGCTAAAGTCATATCTTGGTCCAGTGGATTGATAAAATACAATTAAACGAGACAGAATCAGTATACAAGTATATCTTTCTTTTCACTTTTTCTAGATATGAATACCCCTTCCTTGAGAAACAATAAATTAATAAAGATATGAACAAAAAATAATGATAAAAAAAAAAGAATAAATAAATAAAACATATATTTCTCTGTTAATTAATTAAAACAGACATTTTACTTGCCGGTGCTGATAGAGATGACACTTGTTGAAGTTCCAGACTTTGCTGCATTGATAGAACTCGCAAAACGTCTGCATGCTAAGTACGACCCGCAGCGCCACAGTGGAAACCACGGCCAGACATTTCCATGAAGCATACAAGTCCTCCTCCTACCGTCTAACCGTCATGACCAAAAGTTTCTTGCTGTAGAAGTTGTTAACTTTGTCAATGGCAACCTCAATGTTGGAGTTCTGATCTGAGCCGGCGTAACATCTCTTTATACCATTGAATTGATCAGCAATTTCATCATCCATGAGAGCACCCTTGATCACCCCATTTTGCTTCAGCAGCTTCACGTCTTCTGCAGTGTCTACAATCCCATTCAAGGGTTGATTTACACATAGCAGCCTCGTAATATATTTTATGAGAGAGTATAAAATCTAAATAATATGCTACTTTATTGGTTTCAATGTTGTTTGGAACTGTCAGTGTCAGAAAAAATTAGTGAATTTCGTGGACAAATAGTCATATATAGTAGTGAATTTTACCATACTTTTTGATGGTTCAGAAAAGCAGATGAAATTCACAATTTTTATTGTCTTTCAATTTGCTCGTAACACTACTTTGTTAAGTTAATGACAAGAATTAGTTTATAAATTGAAAGAGAAAGTAATCCTCACCAGAAGAAGCAAAGAAACAGATAATTGTTACATAGAAAAAGAGTGAGGGACAAATACGGATAGAATAAGATGGTGAAGAACAGCGATATCCAATAATGAGAAGCTATTAATCAAAATTTTGCAGTGAAATCTTACCCGATGGCTCGGAAAGATGACTTTTAATCACTTTTACGCTCCGGAATATTAGAGATCTTGGGCCACTCGGAGCCGCTTTGAGGAGTGCATCTTTCGGTTAATAGAGGACAATACCAAATTTCCAGACATCTTAATTTGAGGCGTTCCATGGCATCTACGGAGGGTAAATATTCAAGCTTTGGGCAATTGAATAGGATTAGCTCTTCAAGAGATGCAAGGTTCCCAAGCCAATCTGATAAGGCTTCGATTGCTCCGAAGCCACTTAGAGATAGTGATGTGATGGTAGTCAAGTCTTGAAGCTGATGTGGCAGAGATTTCGTGTCAGGCATCCCATGCAAAGACACGTGTCGGAGTGATGATGAAGATGCTAATCCAGCCCAATCAAATTCGATTACTGAGTAATCTGAGAAGGGACCAATCTCCACTTTCCTTAAGCTCGTAAGATAGCCAAATCCACTAGGCATCTCAGCAATCAAGTTGGGACACCTCCGTAACGAGAAGCTCTCGAGAGAAGGGGTTCGTCGCAAATCAAGGGGAAAGGAGACCAGACTGCGGCAATAGGACAACTTCAGCTCTCGGAGAGACGTACACGACTCGAACATCTCCACTGGTAATCTTGTTAATTCATGGCACCCATCGACAGTAAATTCCTCAAGAGACTTAAGGAGGCCTTTCTGTCCAATATTTGGATATCCAAATGAATTAATTCTCGGGCAACCCCGTATCTCCAAGTGCTCTAAAGCTTGAAATTGATAAAGATCTTCTGGCAACTCCCGTAAATTCTGACAATGATAGACTACCAATCTCTTAAGACAAGCGGCGCAACTCATTCCTCTTAATGTTGTTATATTATCGGCATGCCTCAATTCTACACTCTGAAGAGTTGGAAAAAGACAGAGTTGCTCAAGCATGTCAGTGGGTAGACTGTCACAGCTATCAATACTCAAGCTGCTCTCTGGTCGTCTCACTAATTTTAGAGACTCTATGGGTTGACTACGACCACCACTTAATTCAAGGGACGAGAGATTGGCTATATTGCTCAAAACATTTTCTGCCAGCAAAACATGGCAATTCTCTTTGATTTTCAATACATCAAGACTTGGGAAACGACTTGGAGTTGGAATGGTGATCAGCTGGGAGCAACGCCAAATAGACAACTTTTCAAGCACGGGAAACACATCTATCACATGTACTTCACCTGCGGTTGACATCATCTCGGGTGCGTCCTTCCACTCTTCCAAATATTCCATTCTTTCGAGAGAGAGAATTTTAAGGGCTGGAAAGAATGTTTGTCTGCTAATAGTGATTGAACCTCCTGATCCGCAGTCCTCCTCAGCACTTGTACTGTAGAATGAAAGCCCAATGCTTCTTATGTTTTCCAATCCAGTCAGATATAGATGTTGGAGGGATGACAGCTGTCCTAGGGTGGGGAGTTCTCTGCATCTTGTGCAATTCGCCACACGCAACTCCACCAGTGATGTCAAATTCATGAACCATTGTGGAAACTGATCACCCTTAAAATACCGGATATGCAACTCTTTTAAATTTGGGTGAGGTTGGAGGCCTTCCAACACATCTTCATCACAATTATCACTTTCTCGATCCCTATTGCCCCACTCAAATACCAACCGATACAGATTTGGCTTTTTAGATAGGTTCGCCAGTTCAGCATCATCTTTGCCATTTACTAATTCAAGATTTCTGATCTCCAAGGAGCCTTTAAGATCTTCCAAGGTTCCAAGTTCTTGGATACCACGACCTTCCTCTTGACGACCTATGTTAAAGAACTTCAATGTTTGAAGACAAGTCCATCGTCCAATCCCGGATGGCATTTGGATTTCGCGTCGTGTATCATAACGAGAATAGTGAAGATGTCTCATGCTAATCAAATTGCTCATCTCCTTTGGAAAACCGTCTACAAGCATGCCAATTCTCAGTGTTTGCAAACAGTAAAGTTTGCAAAGAGATTCTGGCAAAGTTCTGATACTAGACTCTGAAATGTCAAGTAAGTGTAAATGGATTAGTTTGCCAATGGAGGTCGGCAACTCTTTGGCATCTGCTCCAAACAATTTTAGGACATGCAAGTATTTGAACTTTGACAACATATCATCAGCTATGCCACCCTCCAGAAATAATGTGCGAAGTGATGCTGATGACTTTGCATTGATGGTTTCGACCATTCTTTCGGATGAGTATACTGCAAGGTAACGGTCCTGATTGCTGCTGCTACGATTCAAAATTGATTTTGCAAAATCGTGCACAAGGTCATGCATTTCATAACATGTTCCCCACGCATATTTTACTTCTTCCAATAAGGAAGTTTGCAGCAAAATTCTGAAATACTCGCATCCTATTTTCTCCATCATTCTTTCATTTTGGGGATCCGGTTGAAGAAAGCCTTCAGCCATCCAAAGCTCAACTAGTAGATCTTGTTCCATTCTAGTATCTTGGTGAAAAATTGAGCAATATGCAAAACATTTCTTTACCGGTACAGGTGACAGATGATCAAAACTCACCTTAATTATTTGCTCGATCCCACCCCGATCTCCATTCAAGAGACTTTCATCCAAAATAGATAGCCACTCCTCTTTTCTCTTTTTAGATAACAAACCTCCGATTAACTTTGCTGCCAGAGGTAGACCGTCACATCTTCTTAAAACTTGGCGCCTCATGTCTTCCAATTCTTTTGGTACTTCTTCCCCTACATTTGCCCATTTTTTCATGATAGACCAGCAATCATTATCGCATAGCTTTCTTAGCTCATGACGAGTAAACTTGATCTGCGGATGTCTAGACAGAATAGTTGCCACTTCTTGCAGCCGAGAAGTAACAAGACACCAGCTCCCTTTCTTCGCATTGAGTCCAGCCAAAGTGCTGAAAAAATCATTCAACAATACTTCTTTATCATTCCACACATCATCAAGAACAAGGAAATATCTTTTTTCCTTGAGTTCATCTTGAATTTTTTGAACTATGTCCTCCCTACTATCCCCTTCAATCTCTCTATCTGTTAACCCTTTTATTAACGATTTTAGAATCATTTTGAAGAGCTCCAATATGTCAACTGGTTTAGCCACACAAACCCACATTGTTTGGTCAAAATGTCCAACAATTTGCTCATTTTTGTAAATGGCTTTAGCTAGAGTTGTTTTGCCTAAACCACCCATGCCAGTTATGGGAATAACTGAAATAACACTTTCAGATTCGGTCAACAACTTCTTAACTATTTCTGATTCATCCTCGTCTCTTCCTAGGACATCTCTTCGAACAATGGTAGAGTCGGTCTGTCGGCTTGTTGTGGCTCCAGCAGCAATAGTAGCCAATGCTTCTTCAACTTGGTGCTTGTAGGCCAGTCCCAAACGTTCGGCATCCCGATGGATCCTTTGAAGGTTCGTGTTGATCTCCCTGATCATTGAACCCAACCTCCAACGAAAACCAATTTTATTAAAGAATGAAAAGCAGAATAATACCTTCTTTTTCGTGAGTTGATTTTGATACTTCACCTTCCGACGAAGATTTTCATAGTTGAGCTCGCCCAGCACATTGTCAGCTTTGAAAACCTCTTCTTCCAGCTGCTTGAGCCAAATTTTCACGTCTGAGCTATGCTTGTCCTCGTCGGCACCAGCCAAGAAGCCTCGGATCATTGCAGCAGATTTGTCGAGTTTCTTCAGCTCCTCTGGGAATTCACGAGCCAGATTAACATGATTAGCGGCAAGGGAAACAACCGCCTGCAATGCAACCTGAATAATAGCACTAACAGGAGCATCAGCCATTTTTTTCTCGCTTGGGATTGGAATTAGGATGAAAGTGTTCTGCAATGGTGATGGGGGGATGCCTTCTGCGATGAGACAAGGAAGGATATTGTTCAACTTTGGCAACTAAGGGCAGCAAAATCTGTGGAGGCTAAAACTTGCGGGAATGAAATTTGCAACTCAACATCCAAATTTCTCCACTGCACGCTCTATCATCACTCCTGACAGGTGTGCGTGATTTACGGATCACAGCTCTAGCAGCTGCACGTTCTCTCAAAAGTCATAAGAGTAATATTAAGGCTTTGGAAAGCAGACATGTCCGTGATTTACGGATCACAGCTGCATATGACCGTGTTCCTGATTACAGTTATTTTTTTTAAGAGCAGGTCAAGAAGTTGATTTGTTAGCTTCACAGAGGTAGAAACAGAGTTGTCTCCTTCACACGAAGGCACATAAGAGATTAAGAACCAGAAGCAGAGTAGTCAGCTTCGCATGAAAGCGCTTCACAAGAGATGGAAGCAGATTTTTTAGCTTCACGTCAGTAGAATTATTGAGTACAGGAGAGTTTGGCTGGTGAGCTTCCCATAAAGTATCAACGTCTGACTGATGATCAAGTGGCGATGATACAGATTTTGGCCAAGTATTCAATGAAGTCAGGTCCATTCAAGCGCTTTTGTGTTTGAATGAAACTAGAAAAAAGAAGGGGTCCCCTGTTTTGCATCTTGAAGTTTAAAGCATTAGGCAATGGCATCAATTTAACTAGCACATGAATGCTTTTTTACCTTGCTTTCAAAATAACCACCACACACAAGCACTCTCAAAATTAGCTCAATGCTCTCCAAGCTTAATCAGAAAAACATTCGAGTAATTCCTGAGCACGAAATCATTGAAAAACAGATGAAAATTTAGGTAGTTGAAAAATTAAGGAAGGCGAAAGGCACGACTTTTACAACTGAAAACACAGAACTTAATTGGTGAGAACCTTTTAGCAATTGTTAAACCTTGCATGCATATGTGAGCCAACCTGCAACTTGACTCACATTTCTTATTGGCTAAAACAGCGAGCTCTCTGATTCCTCCTTATCACAATGCAGTAAAACAGGTACTATGTTAAGATTGGCTTAACTTCTAACTCATCATCTTATAGTTTCTCTCTTATCGGTTTTATTTTTACTAAAATGTCATACTTTTTTATTTTAAAATGTCTTAAAATATTTATCATTTTATTAAACTCAAATTTACTTTTAATCTCTTTTTTTTCAATGTTATTTTCACATTTATCAATATTTGGCACTAAATTCAAATTTAAAATTTGAATTTTCGAGAACAAGTTTAGAAACGAATCCCTTAACATCGCCGTCAAGTTATTTACTATTCTTAAAAAAATTTTGAATCCCAAAATGCAACGAATAATTTGGAGCGGAGGGAGTAATATTATAATTTCCATCAGTTTTGCATGTATACTCAAATATAATGATGATTTCTTAATAGAATTTTGGTACTTTGTATTGCATTTTGTTATTTTAAAATTAAAACGCATATTGCTTCTTTTTTTTTACCATTAAAAACTTTTGAAAGGTTTTTTTCACTTTCATAATAGATTAGTGCAAAATCATCACTGATTATTTTCCCCCCACAAACTCAATAGAGCAAAATAGTCTTATTGAGACAAAAAAAGGATTAATTAGTAGAGGGAAAAAAATTGTACAAAAAAACAATTGCTAACTGCTAATGATATAAATACACACCAATTAAACATAGGAATATGGACTTGACTCAATTAAAATACTCCCTTCCTTCCGAAATTTTTGCCGCATTTCAGGATCTCTGCATTTATATTTTCAATAATGCAAGAATCTTAAATGATTTGGGTTAATGTTCCAGTAACACCCCTGCTTGGAGTTTCCAGGTGCTCATGCGTTTTTGAATAATAAAAGAATCACAACTTGTGACAAATTGAAACTGTTTTTGGCTCCTTGAAATCAAATTGAAATAAAGTAAAGGGTCAATTAGCACTAATCTCCAATTTTATTAGGGCACTTAGCCCACTTGAGTTTATTTTATCATCA